GTGATTTTTTAGCCAGGGGGATCATGTGAGGCAGCTGAGCCCTCCCCCCCCCCCCCCAAAAAAACCCCCTCCCCCCCCCCCCCCAAAAAAACCCTCTCCCCCCCCCCCCCCCGCCCCTTCCCGGTTTCTGCACAGGATGTCTGCCTCACTCACCGCCTTGCTCACCCGGCCGATTGGAGCATAAGTCGCACGAGATCAGTGCTGCAGATTTTCCATTGTCGGCTAGACTCTTCCCCTCCCACCAGCTGTATCCCCATAAAAACAAATCGGGCAACTGAGATTCTTCCTATTCCGAGTGGCTGCCCCCCAGGGAGATCCTCTCTTGCACCAGAGCTGGCCTTTGACTCTCATTTCTGCTGAGGAAGCAAGTGATTTCTGGGACAGGTAAGCGGAAAAGAGCATGGATTCCAGGTATGGGGGTTTTCTCGAGGGTGGGGGAGTGAGGAAACTTCCTTGCAGCCCTTCCAATGCAAGCCAGATCCTTCCACAAGGGATCCAGTGTTCTCGCTCTCAGCCTGACGGGGATCCTTGCTGGATCCTCTGGGGGCATCGCTTCAGGCACAAAGTCATTTGCTTTTCCTCCAAGCCAGCCTTCACCTTCGGTGTGGCCGTCCAGCTGCCAAAGTTGCCAAACTTTTAAACAACTGGAAAAAGAGGGCTAGAGTTCAATCCTTCGTGGGATGCCCCTGAACAAGAGTTTCTCCATTCTTAGTTTATCTCTTGATTGTATCCAGAGGCCTTTTGAGCTCCGATCTGTTTTGCCAATGCTTTTAGGGGGGAAGGTGGAAAAAAAAAAAACTTCCACGTGACACTGGAAAACAATTTTCCAACTTCAAAGGAAGGGTGAGGCGGGAGGAGCTATTTAATTCTTAAGTTCAGGAAACAAGTCGCCTTGGCCCTCTGTTTGCCCACCAGATAAATTAGGAGAAAAACTGCTTCATTTTTTAACTTCTAATTTTGAAGTTATAAGTTTCTCTTCGGCTCCTCTTTTTGCTGAAAATGGCGAAGTGTCTCCCTAATAGGAACCAGCTGTGGGTTTCCTTTTGGAAGAAAGGAGGGGGAGAGAAGATTGGGGAGAGATTTCGAATGGGAACCGTATCCTTGGGGCTTGTCCATTAAACCCTCTTTGGCACAATCTTTGAGCTTGTGTGTGTGTGTTTGTGTGTCCTGTTTGATCGTCCCAGAATGCGGCCACTCGTCCTTCTGTTAGCCACGCTGCTGCCTGTGGCAAATGTGGTAGCCATGGAGTCTTCTCTGGACACAATGCTGGATTCTCAGTGGGAGCTTTGGAAGAAAATTCACCGGAAAGATTATAATGGCAAGGTAAGGGCCCGGAAACTGCCAGGCTGGGCATGATATCCCATTGCACCAAATACAATCCAGCTGTGCCGACGGCTTCTTTGTGCCAGCGGAGGGCAGCCTTCAGAGATGAGCTTGAACAGACTTAAATTTATAATCCAGGTCTAATGTCTTTTAATTCAAGATGATGAGGACTAGGCTCTTAATTCCCTTTTAGTCTAAAGGATATAATGCACGCTGCGGGCCAAAAAAAAATCCAGGCAAAACTTTTTAGCGTCCTCTTGCTGGCCTGGGGAAGATGCTCCTGTTTGAAATCTCGGGGGATCCCATGTGAGTAAGACTTGTTTACCTGTCAGGTGAAGTAAGACGGGACTCTTCTGCGAAGTCTTACCCAATTCTCCCTCCAGGGGTGCCCATAGATCAAACCTGTTTCCCAGGCTTGTATTTTTCTGCCTCTGAAAAGCGTTGCACGCGTTCTGGAGTCAGCGAAACAAAACCCCATTTTGCCGCGTGGATGTTGGCTGCGTCTTTCGAATCTTAACTTTTCGCCTGGGCATCTTTTAACAGATGGAAGAAGTTCCCCGAAGGGTCATCTGGGAGAAGAACCTGAAATACATCAACACCCATAATTTGGAATTCTCCCTGGGAAGACACACCTTTGAGCTGGCCATGAACCACTTGGGGGACATGGTAAGATGCCACGGTTCCTCAGTTTAATCATTGAAAAAATGGGACGATTGCTGAAATGATGATGATGATGATGATGATGCTGTGGATTTAAAATTGCGTCCTTGTGCTAGCTGGGAAAAAAACAAACTCATTTTCATTGCAGTTTTCTCTCCGCGCTAAAGAAACCAGGTTGACAGTTGTACCGAAATGTCTCTGGGCAAATTACCTCTCGGCTCAAACCCGAAGTGAGAATGGCTGTGTAAATCAGCGCAATTCGTTGATGTGGAAAATCCACAGAATTGCCCTATTTACTGGTTGCGATGCCTGAAATAATTTTGAAGCAAATGCCTTTACGTTTTTTTCCCAACATGCGCTTGTTCTAATTTGGCATCGATGCTCACATGGCGCATTAAAACGATATTTTCTATTCGGCCTTGGTGCACGTAATAGCAATAGCAGTAGACTTATATACCGCTTCATGGGGCTTTCAGCCCTCTCTAAGCGGTTTACAGAGTCAGCATATTTTCCCCAACAACAATCCGGGTCCTCATTTTACCTACCTC